CTTCTGTGAGCAGTAGTATTTTAGAGGGAGCTGGGGAATAGTTTTTGCACAGAATCAAGACATTGAACCAGCAGCTTTCTGCAGAGAATTGTAGCAGGCTCAAACTCCTTCAGGCAAGGTAGCTGAGTTAGGGAATGGGAGTCTCTGCCTCTCAAAGAGGGGGGCTACTGCCAGGGGGTACGCAGTGACTGCTGACTGCCAGGCCTCACTGATTTTGAGCATGTCAAAGCCCAGAACCTGTGTTCCTTTCAGAGATGTGATATATATAGTTCATTGTCTGGCATCATCTTGTTTCAGGAGTGTGCTGCTTTCTATTGCAGTTCCCTCAGTTTGATAAGGGAGACCTTATTACTCTCTCCAACTACCTGACAGGAAGTTGTAGTGAGGTGAGGGTTGGTCTTGTGTACCTGATAACAAATGAAAGGACAAGAGAAAATGGCCTCAAGTTGCGCCAAGGGGAGCTTCAGTTGGATATTAGGGAAAATTTCTTCACTGAAAGAGTTGTCAAGCATTGGAGCAAGCTGGCCAGGGAAGTGTCGGAGTCACCATCCCTGGAGGTGTTTAGAAGATGTCTAGATGTGACATTTAGTGACATGGTTTAGTGGTGGACTTGGCAGTGCTAGGTTAATGGTTGGACTGAATTGTTTTAAAGGTCATTTCCAACCTAAATGATTCTATGACTGTTGTGGTGGTCATCCCTATAGCGGATGGTGGTGGGTTGACCCTGACTGATAACTAAGCCAGTCTGGATCACTTCCCCACAATGAGAAAAAAACTCATGAGCTGAGGTAAAGCCAGTTTAATAAATGAGGAAAACAAAAACAAACCACAAAACAAACAACAAAAAATCAAAAACCAAGGAATGCAAGTCAATCACCCACCCAGTATAGCAATTCAGTACCGGATGCAGTGGCTGCTGGAACTGATAGATTTTGCGGTACCTTGCCTCCTCGTTGTTGGCAAAGAGAATTCCCTTCTCCAGAAGTCCCCCACTGTCACTGTGTTTCCTTCCACAGAGGCTGTGCTCAGACTTGTACAGGCCATGTGAATTTTACTGTAGAGATTGATCCTTTTAAGCAATTGTAGCCACAGCTCCCTCAGTTGTTTGTTGAACAAGGAGACACTGTGGTTGTAAGATCACAACTATCAGCCCTGTTTTATGATTTTTATGAGCATTAATGGAACAAGGTTTGTGGACTGAAGGAGAAAATGGAATATGAAAAGGAAAATGAAAAGAGGTTGTGAGGAAAGCATGTCATTTCTAAATGAATGCTCTGTGCAGAGGAATTTAATCTTTTCACAACTGAAAATGGATCTTAAATCTGATGCCTTAGCTTGTTTCAGCTTCTGTAATGAAATAGAGTTTTCCTAATACCCTGTGACCTGAATTTCTCCCTGCTTTATGGGTGCTATTCCTTGACGTACAAACCTGTATTTTCTCAAGTCAGCATTCGATGATGGATGTCAAAATACAGGTCATGTATTATGCATATAGCATTACCGATTTAAGGTGTTTACTTGTCAAGTTGAAGAAATTCAAAAATGTCACATTCACTGAATCTGCACAGCTGTCACTTGTAGTTTTTCATGCCTTTAAATGAAAGTTCTGATAAAGCAGGTTAGTTTTCCTGCACTTTTTTTTTTTTTTGTTCTCTTTTCTGGACGAAAAAAATAGACAACCTGTGTATAGAATTTACTTTGTGACTTGGGAGCAGGAATGTGGCCTGAAGGTGTGCGACACCATGTGACTCCAAACACAGACACACAAAATCCACAAATACTTCAGTTTTCCTTTTCCTTAAAATATTCCAAAATTTTTTAAAAGTAAATTTCTCGAAGTGTCTGAATTAAGTACGAGCAAGGAAATTAAATTAACAGACGTTTCTCACATCTTTCAAGACCATAGGATGAAAAATATCAAGGCATGAGTCTAGTTTTACATTCAAGGTGAAAACAAATTCCCCTTAACATGCTTCCTGCATTTCAGACCAAATGCACTATGTGTGCAGTGTGCAATTACAGAGCTTCTGACAGTCGCTGTCTACAGAAATGCTGCATTTACTTCAATCTTCTGACACCGTCCTAGGAAGGCAAATATTTGAAGGGTTAGAGAGGTGGCTACAAACAGCCTTCGATGGAGAGTGTGCGTGTCTGTGCCTCTATGTGTGTGCACATTGCAGTGGAGGGAAAACAAGAACTTGCATGTTTAGATGCAGTTATGCTAACTTACTTCAATTTGCTTTTAGCTGGTAGGGAAATGCTGATGTGCTCCTACCATCTGAAGAGCCTGATTCTCTAAAAAATGTTTGAGGGAGCGCATCCTGAGATGGGCAGAGGAAAGCCTTCAGGAAAAAAGGAGAAGCAGAGCCTCTAGGGATGCTCCAAGCAGTACAATCCCTAGGGTGCATGAGAACAGTATTAGTTTTCTTTGCTCTTAGATAACTGAGTGTAAAAAAATCTTGCTGTTGCCATTTTAACCTGTAATTCTGCAGAGAACCCAACTGCCTGCCACCATAACTGCTCAAGGAGTCTAGATGAGCTTTTTCTATTATACTGGGACAAAGGCCATATCTTGCATCTCCTAACAGAATGCATTCCATAACAGAGTGCAAGACTTAAAACACTAGATCCTGCTGCAGAAGGAGGTGTCACATTAATACCCATCTGTCCTCAGATAGCATTTGAAGTCCCACTTTCATTTTCCTGCTGTTGAGAGAGTGTCAGCATCACCTGTAACTTATGAGGTGGTGCCTGAATTACCTCTGTTAGACTCACTTTGTGAGCCTAAGGAATCTCAAGCTCTGCCATGCAAAAGTAAATGTTCAAAGAGCCAAGACAGCTATCAGTCATAGTGCCAGATACAAGGAAACATCTACAAACCAATACCAGTTGGAAATGCAACTCACTGTCATCATGTTGGTCTTACTGAATTAGTTTCAGCACAAGGAGCAATATTAAATGACTGACTGTTAACACTTCCGATTCTCTTGTAGAAATCTGCTTTCTAAAGATTTTCCATGCACTGGTAATATTAAATAGAATTGTTTTATTGACTTAGGTTTGTCTATGGCAATGTTTTAGTCTTGCAAGCCACATCCACTTCTTTTCTCCTAAGGAATTTCTTCACAGACTTTTCACTCTCGTCTTAGTTATCCTGTCTGTACAATCATGTTGCATCTAGTTTTCTTGTGATAGAATGAAATTCACACCAGTACCTTCTAGAGGGCTAAGAAAGTCTCTCCTCAGTAATTATTGCCTGTATATTCTATATGTGGTACAGACAAAATATAGGGACAGATGAATGGAAAGAGAAATTTAAATCCCATTAAATCAAGAAGTCCAGATCTAGTGGTCCTTGTAGTTTAGGGGCAGGTTAAGAGTGATGGTACTTATCGCTGGAAAAGAACCATAAATCCTTCAGAAAACATAAAACCAGTACAATGTGTTAACAATTACAATTTAATTTAGAAATTTCCTGGTTTGTAAATTGGTCCCCAAACTAAAGCAAGGTAAACTACATAATATCACATTCTTCTGAATTCAGTAACAGATGAACAAATGTATCAATGAATTTAATGGTGTGAAACAGTTTCCACACTGCAAGAAGATAATGAAGTTATGTCAGGAATTAATTTGGCTTTGATTAATTTAGAATCAGTATATGGAGAATTCAGATTTATTGACAGAGGACCAAAAGTCTGTCCCTGGATGTCAGGTGTGAAGTCAAAGAATTTAGGAATAATGTGGCAAAAAAATTTAATGTCTTCTCAGAAATGTGTGTTTTAAAGTAAGCTTGGGTCAGTCCTATTTCTGGCATACAAATATTTGCCTAAAAATGCTGCCTTAATGTTTTTCTACATTAAACCCTAAGGTCAACCTCTAGCTTCACCATTACTTCTGCAATAATGACATTAAATGAACATTCCCATACTTTCTGCAGCTTTAATGGACAAGGGAGGTAGAATGCTTTAGTCTCAACAGTGAATTTCTATCCTTCTATTGCATAGGCTTTTCTATAACTACCTGTTTTTCAGTATTTACAATCAAACTCCAAAAGGCTTTTCCTGGGTATTTTTTGTTTAAAGAAAAAGAAAAAAAAAAGAAGAAAAAAAAAGGACAAAAAATGCTCGATGTCAAGGGCTCCCTTTCAAAGTGCGTAGAGAATCAGGCTGAAAACAAAATGTCTTTTGGAGGTGAACCTTACTGGTCTCCAGATCTCTTTTTTCTGTGAGTGCCTGCCAATATGTTTCCTCTCCCACCTTTGTTTCCTTTACATCTTCACTCTTTCTAGTTTCTTTTGAAGGATTCCTCTTAGATACTGTTTGAAAACCTGTGTCTTTTTCCTTCCATCCTATCTTTTTGTCTGTTAGAATGAACCCTTCCATCGCAGTATTCCTACAATAGTAATCCTCATAGAAATGCATATTATAAATTATACACATGAAAATTAAAAAAACAGGCAAACAAACAAAACACCATGTGTGGGTTGTATTGCTCCTGGAAAACAGGTAAACCCTGCTTGTTGATCAAACCTAAAACCAGCTAATGGAAGCAATTTGTTCCTCATGGTTTTACTACCATTTACAAACAGTACTCTTTAAAATGTTAATTGTTGTTTAAGGAAAGGTGTTTATTTCAGGATTATTGAAATACTGATAAAACAAAATTAAACCTCTCAAACACTGTGATCTTTTTTATTTTTATTTAAGTAAGCATTACTCTTTCTGTTTTACACCTTTTGATGCAAAGGCTTAGGATAACAAAATGAATTTCAGTTTCTCCATTAGCTCTCAAATATCTTACAGTAGAAATAAACTGCATATTTGTGAAGGATTATGCTTTTATGAAATAATTGTTGAAAATTAAGTCAATTTTTTTTAAATTACACTTTTTTACCATACTTTCCTGGAAAATAATAAAATCAGAGATAGGGAATTCCCCATAGTTTGTCCTCTGTAAATTTTCTCTTTTTTTTTTTCTCCTTTTCTTTTTTCTTTTAGGCTTTACACCCCCTGGAATGGATAGGTCATCTCCAGACAACAGTCCAGTCCATGGCCTGTTACGTCAACCCTCCATTACAACAGGAGCCAACATCCCTATTATTACAGAGCTAGGTAAGGAAAGCTAACATTTATCCTTTCATGTACATTCCCGTATCTTTTTCCCACTTCCCTTGTTATGCAGTCACAGAAAAATTACCCATACTGTGTCTTACACTGTTATGTTTTCTCTTTTGATAACTGTTTTGAATTACTCTTTCTAAAGAAAGTTTAGTAACAGTTGGTTCACTTTATTTGAATAACTGAAATATATTTCTCTCCTCCCTTTGGGTTTTCTCCATTTTCTTAAATAAATATTCTATCAGGCAAGATGCTTTTTGCATAGCGTAGCAAATAAGCAGAGGTCTTTGGGCTAAGGTTAGAAAAGGAAGAAAGCCACAGTAAGTATGAGCAGATATTTCCTGTGCATTTAATCAATTGTAAGAGGCCATTTGTTTATTTCTTCATGGTCCAAAACTGTTTAATCATGTGTAACCAAACTCTGTATAATAGTATGAGATATTTTACTCCTGAGAATACGATGATGGTAGGTAACTAGACTCTGATTTCCACTCTAGCTGTGGGTATTTATGTTGTCAAGTGGTGTGATGTGAAGTGCAGAAGCTGTTCTGTTTTTTTCATGGCAAATACAAACTTGATCTGTGGTTCTTTGTCCTCTATTTTCTTTTTCAGTTTTAGTTCTTAGAGCCTTATCTGTCTTTTTCCCTTACTTTATTCTCTTTCTGTACTTTCTTTTCCCCCTAAATACTTTACTTACTAGCTAAGCCTGGCAAACTTCTGCCTTTGGTTTCAATCAGTCAGGAAAAAAACAGTGGAACCCACATTCTTATGATAACTGAACTGGGTAAGAAGTGCCTTTTTCCTTCACATCACTGTCTTATTTTCTGTTGTTGTTGTTCTTACTGTCATCAGCTTTCCCTTTATTTATCTGGCTGTATCAGAGGGGCTACCCTCATGGCACTGCTTTGAATGTGTTTTATTTGTGGTTCTAGTTGAAATTGACTGTCTCGTTCTGGTCTTTCTTAATGATTTTTTTTTTTTCACGCAGCATCAGTAAACCTTTGATCACACTCGTCTGACCTGCCGGCTGTTTTCATAGCACCTCCTCACCAATTCATTTTCTTTGGCCTGAGTCCCCACCTCCCAGTGCCCCCCCCCCCAGTCTCCCTCCAGTTTTTCTCTCCTTTTCTCTCTCTCTTTCTCTTTCTTTTTTGTTAGTTCAGCCTGTTGTCAGTTTGGTGGACATGCCTTAACAGTTTTCACAGGAAGTCCAAGAAGAACTAAAAGATACCAGGAAAAAAAACCCAGCATCCTACTTTCCCTTAAGTTATTTTTTTGTTTATTTTAGGGAATAGACTTTTTCCCAGAAGCTCAGGTTTTGAAGCTGTAGAGAAGCAGTCAAGTTTCTGCATTGTTCCCTCCTGACACAGAGCTCTCACCAGCCTTTGCGAGCAGCGTTTGATGAGCTTTCCCTATGGCGCAGCACAACACATTCGAGCCCACCTCACCTGGCCCAGAGACCATTCATAGAAATACTAGCATGCTAACTTGCATTAGGAAGATAAAGATATTGAAGATAACACACCTGCAGAATTCACATTAGATTTGTAGCATCTTGGGAACTGACACCATGTGTGTCTAGCAAGCTGGTGTCTAAGACAGGTATTAGTCTGCCAGATGTAAGTGGAAAAAGAATGGTACTGTCAATAGTGCCTAGTCTCAACTAGCAAATTAAACTAAGGTACAAGCTTTTCAAAAAGTACATTTTGAAATGATACAGCAGGCTTTCAAATATTATATTGCTCAAGAATCTGGAGAATAAATTGATAGGTATTGTACTAAAGAAAGAAGTATCGTGGATATTGGTGTTTTCTTGGATGAAATTCTTCTGACTCTGATTTTCTCTGATTACAGTGGTGAGGTGTTATGTATTTGCAGTTACATCAGGGAGTGGGAAGGCAGGAATTTTAAATCATAGTCTCATCTCCTTTAGACAGCTATCATGAGGCTTTATCAGTAGTAATTTATGTTTTGTAAGCTAAGCATGGCAAGGACAGTAGAATATAGTCTGGAAAAGGAGTGGATGGAAAAGAAAACTATATGGGAGGTAGCTAAACTGTATGAGAAGGAAAATCAGAGTAGCAGGCAGAAGAATTTCTAGCTTAAGAAGGTCAGAGCTGAAATCTGATAAAGTTAACAGCAGCTCTCATTCTGTCTTCAGAGTTCACTGGATTGGCTCAGGAGACATGTTCACACAGGGAATAGAGACATAGTCATTATATGCAGTTTCAAATGCTCAAAAAGTTTTTAATTTCCCTTTTTTGCATGGGAACTGAAATTAATTTGTTGTTTAGTAAGTTGAAGGGTATTCCGATGGCGTAGCTAAGCAGTCTGTGCTTTCATGCCTGAGGGAGATTAATATGGAAATGAAATATTTCATGAAATATGATCCACTTGATACACTGATCTCAAGGAAACAACTATTTTTATTTGGAATGAGATGGAGGCAGAGGGCTTAACTGTGACAATGAAATGCCAGAGAAAGTCTAAATGACAAATACTACTTTATTCAGGCTTTTTCTTTAAAACAGCCTCATGTAGATTCTTTTTCACACTGGCTAATATAGAATTTGTGGCTGAGAAAGTGAAGTTACAGAGACAAATATTTGAACAAAAGGCAGTGCTGCAAGAGAATAGCTGCTCATTCATTCAGATAGATGCATGTTAAAGGGACAGTCTATCCTCTTTTGAGCCATAAGTGCATTAACATCATTTCAGTAAGAATCACAGCAGCACATCTAACAGATGCCTGTGGGCTATATCAGAGTTTTATTGACAGCCTTTATTTTACAACGGGGTTCTAAGTTTGTATCTTGTGATAACATTTCACTATCCATGCATACAGCCTTAGCCACTGTACCCGACCAATACCAAGATTGTCTCAATAAATAAGTGCGTCATGTATCTCATTTTAAGTGCAGGCAGCTGGTGCCACAAAGCTACTTTTACAGCAAAGGGATAGTCACCTCTCAAGAACAAGAGTGTCACCTCTTACAAGCAACAGATTTTTAAATGCACGTTTTCACATCCATCTTGATTTCATTTTCAGTGACGTCAAAGACACAAGTCTGTGTTTCCAGACATATGCCGTTTCTTTTTCTTTGACTGTGTAATGTGTGAGGTCGCATGCTGGTGACCCAGAGGCACCTTATGATTTTACTGTTCTTCTTCTTGTTATTTTCAGTGAATGATTCAAATGTTCAGTTCTTGGACCAAGATGATGATGATGATCCAGACACAGAACTGTATCTCACACAGCCCTTTGCATGTGGAACCGCGTTTGCTGTCAGTGTGCTGGACTCTCTCATGAGCGCAGTAAGCAAACAAAACCTTTTTCATTCCCTTCCATCAGACTTATTATGAAAGAGTGTGAAAGCATAGACCCTTTTCCTCAGGTAGGCACGAGAAGACACTTTTTTCTTAGATGTCAAGAATTTCAGAACCTAAACTAGGTTATTTTTCCTGTTGGACATGGAGACCTCAACTGAGATATCTAGGACTTCCACGAGTCCACAATTTTATGAGGAAAGAGTCTTATGTCAGGCTTTAAGGATAATATTTTCAAAAAAAAGTTGTCTCTTCCTCCTGAAATCCAGACACAATGCACACCATTCATGTCATGCAACATCAACTGTGTTTTGAGCTCTTAATTTCCTGTAGCTATGAACAATGCTCTGAATATGGGCACTGGGGGATGCTGATAGAACTATATGAAAGCCATTGTACACATCTCATGAACTCTACTTGTGTGAAGAAAGGTTATCCTCTCTTTTTCATACGAGTTTTCTTGTGAATCAAAACCTCAGCACATCCCAGAAACTACAGATGGTGGCCTTTGGTTATGTCTACATTAGGACTTTTGGTTTGCAGCCATAGTACAGTTCTGAAGCCTTGGTCCTACTGCTTTTCATTCTCCTCATATTGTCTAGGTTTTCAGACCAGTCTTGCTCTGTGTGAGCTACACTTCTTTCAGAGTGACCTTCAGCTCTGCTAGATATAGCAAGGACATAGTCTTTTTAAAATCTAAGCTTAGGTTTTCTGAGGTCCCCGTGGAATAAAGTTCCATAGTGCTGGGAATCATCTGTTGTAAGTAAGACTATGTATGAGCAGATGGATTTCTTTAAAGGAGCCAAGTCCAACCTTCACCTAAATTCAGAATGAAGCTTTTTGCTTTTGAGGAAAATTCACAGTGATCTTTATTATTTTATTTGTATTTCATATTTATGTGTGTATTTTGTATTTTTTGCTGTTATATTTCTCATATGTTTCATCCAGAGATGAATAATATCAGTCTACACTGATAAAAGTTTATTCTAATGCAGTCTAGGAGTTTTCAATAACCTCAGAAAATGCTTTTCTTGAAAGCTGTTTACAATGTTTTGCAGATGTGACAAATTCAGAAAGACTAAGCAAACACACTTAAACTCTGTACCTTCTCTAATTAAAATCTCTACCTATAAAATATTTAACATTTTCAAATTATATATCGGAATGATTTAATAAATTGTTATACTGAGAGCTGTATATCTACTCCCATTATTATCTAAGTCAATGTCCCTGAATATATTGTTCAGTAGAACATTTCCAGAATCTCAAAAAAGTAGGATTGATCGTTCTGGTTGCCTCTGACATCACCACAGAAAGAGAGTGAAGTGTTGTGGACATCACTGCTTTCTTGTGCAAAAGTATGTCATGTAAATATTAGTGAGGCAATGAAAAATATGTAGAGACCATGCCTGTTCAGAAATTTTTATTTGGAATTCACCATATAATCCTCATAATATTTTTAGTTATTGCTAGCTTTTATTAACTTTCATTTTTTGACAACACGGCCCTCCATTTCTGCAATTCCTTTCTTTAACAGTCTTTTTTCCAAACATTTTCACATCTAAGTGGTCATATTGTATGTCAGGGACAGTGCAACCTGAAGCCAGAGAAATGTGATAACAAGAGTAGAAAATTCTATACTTAGAAAAAAATACTAATCAAGAAGACAAGCCAAGGATTCAGTCACTTAGAATTGTTCACCATCCTGTCTTTTCTTTCACCACTTTGCTGATTGGTGGCAGCATTATTTTCTCTTTTATTCCTCAAAGGCCCAGTAAAGAGTTGGAAAAGTACAATTCTTCCTGACCCTTCAGAAAGGGTAAAATGTGTGAGATGTTTTCCCTTTACTATCCCTATTCTCATGGGAAAGATGTATTCTCCTTTCACTTCTTCTCCAAGGAAAAGAGTGTTTCTCACACAAACTAATCTACTTGCACTATATTATCTGTTTGTTTTTCTTTTTTCTCCAGAGTACACTCTTTTTAGGAACCAGCTTCTATTTGTTCTGTCTAGCTTCAAACCAGTGTGGGCAAACTGAACCCAAAATCCCTGCTAAGTTGTGAGATCTGCAGTCATGCTTTCATCCTATTAGTTGCATCGGAATTCTATAAGAAGTGTATAACTTGCACTGTGCTGACCTTTGCCAGCTCACTTGGAAACAAGTATATAGTTCATTATTCGATCCACTTAATGATTCAGGGGGTTTTAGTACCTAATTTTTATAGGAAAATTCCAATTTATGATGTCTGTTGATATCTCTATAATGCAAATTCCTTATATAGTCTACAGTGTATGAACTTCTCCTTTAAGAATGAATCTCTTCTCACGGTAGTGAAGTTTTGTAGTAAAACAGGTGTAAGAAAGATTAGAAAATAAAATAATGCCCATGCGTACAGTATTATTTCTGACCTGTGGATAATCTGAAACGTACATATAGATGTATGTATATTAAAAAAAAGGTACAAAATATATTTTAAATAATTCAGTCATTGGATAATAATAATTCTACAGTATTAATCAGTGGTAAACTATTAGTTTATTTTTTTTATAGTTTCATTAACAGAGATATAGTGAAGTAAACCCTACTCATGAATCACAGATTAGAAAATCTGGTCACTTTTTGACTCAACTCTGAATGCTGAAACTCTTTACATTCTGCTAGTTTAGAATTATTTCCTATTAGATAACAGTATTAGATATTTTAAATTTGAAATTGTCTGTTATTTCCTTATTTCGAAGATAAAAGTCCTAATGAAGTTTAGTTTTCAAAATGCTATCTACTGGCCACCTACACAGTTTGTCCTTTGCAGCAAAGGCAATATATCCCACAAGCCCAAGATTCACAGTGTAGTAGCTGAAACATCACTGCTGAGAAGACAGTAACCAGGTCAAAACCTGCATTGTCTTTTTGATGAATTGGTAGCAGTGGTCTCTCCAGGCTTCAGTTTGAGGGCATTATTGTGCTCTGTGTGAAGACTCCAGGCATAATTCATGTTTTAACCATGTCAGTGGCTATTGTTAAATCATTCCAGCTAATCGTTATTATGTCTTTGAAGAGACATCTACTGCCATCAGATACTTGAATCATATATTAATATTTGTCGTAACATATACAAACCCAGGGAAGGAGTACATGTAGTCTGTCAATCTCAAGGTGGCACCACCAAGTGGAATGTGACTAAAAAGTGTGGGATTGGAAGCATCTTTAAGATTATGTGAATGGTTTTTAAAAATATTATCTTCAGCTATAGAAAAGTTACATAACATAGGATAGTCTAAGACAAGCAAATTTTTGAGCAGAAGTACTTTTTCCCTTTCTGGTTGTTGTTGAGACAGGTATTCCAGAAAATCCTGTGCATGCAAGGAAACCAGCTTTATCAGACTACAGTACCTTAAAGGTTTGAGCAGTTGGCCTGAGAGCCAAAGCTTTGCTCTTAATCCTCTTGGCACTGAAGCTATGAGAACCGCAGAACTTCTGGTGGGTTGTTATCCCTCCCACACATACCACTGGCAACAGACCTGACGTACTGTCAGAGTGGTGCCATTAGAGGCAAGGGTCTCCAGAACCAGATTATACCCTTTAATGTTCAATTTCCTGGAATTCATTTCCTAATGCTAGAACTTTAGGTCTTGATTTTTTTCTGTATTACCAAATTCTACTTTTTCTTCATATAAACAAAAGCACAGAATTGAAGAAAATAGTTAAAACAGTTAAAAATAACTTTTCATTATGTCCCCTTTTTGAGAGTTCTGTCTGAGGGATCTTCACAGTCTTATTTATACAGAAAAGAAACTGTCCTAATCTGTGATATGGACATTTTGAAACATAAGACTATAAGTCTGTTCAGGGGTTAGCAAGCAGCATCTTGTAACTTAAAGTGTCCCAAACATCTTTAAAGTTTGGACAATACTTTGAGAATTAATAGATTTTCAAACTGAAATGCTGTTATTTATTTTCTGCTGTTGGTTCTGTCTCAAAAGCAAGTTTGTTATTGATAGGAGTTACTCATGTTAGCTCAGTCATTCCTCAGGTTTGGGTATATATTATTCCTCCAACTGAAAAAAAAAAAGCAGCAATTTAAGATGTTTGTTTGAAATTGAAGTTAAAAGCTGCATGCAGTGGCGAAGGAGTCTTCTTAAAGGAAATCCATACAAAACCAGCAGCAAACACTGAAAAAGGCAGATATTACTTGGAAAATGACAATTTTAGTGTAATTATAAACGAAAGGAAAAGTGCTATTAAAGTTAAAGCAATATTATTAAAAGATGTGCTAATTTTCAGTTACATTTTCTGTAGAAGACCAATTAGTTTAAAAGGCTTGACAGCATTAACTGCAAAACATAAGCACTCTGGTAATTATACTTTAAAAAATGATTGAACAAATGGGAAAGCATCCCCAAAACATCTGAAAGAGCAGCACTACAATTCTGGAGCATGGGCTAGGTGGCACTGCTAGCTCAGATATCTGTGTCATAATTTCCTTGCTATTTACCCAGTTTCAGTGTCTATGATGCATTTCCTTTTTTCTGTGTTTAGACTACACCTATTTCATAGTCTCATCCCGGATGCCGACTAAAGCAATGTCATGCAGATGTCCAGTGTAGGGTTTGGTCAATGACAGTAGCAAACAAGTATTTCATCAGTTATGATTTTATATTAAACAAAAGCAATTCTTTGCCATCACTGGAAAGTGCCTTGTTACTTTAAATACAACAGCACCTTTCCAAAGACATTCTGTAGATCAGTTTCTTATAAGTACTGGCATATCCAGGCCATGTACCCTCCCACAGAGCAAGTAGCAGATCACTCTCAAATTAATTTCAGTGTATTATTATTCCAAAGGAAATGGATATCAGCTATTCAGTGTCCCCCCAGTTCCAAACTGGCAAGAGTCTGATTTTTGTGACAATCAAAAGCACGGACACAGACAGACCGGTTTTTCCTGAGGAGTGTTAAAGACATTAGTACAAGAGGAAGAGACCCTATTTAGCAGACAGTGACAAGTTACAGCTTCCTATTCACCCATCTTTTCTTGCTTATGGTTGAGCATTTTCTGATTAGATGCAATGCTGGAGCAGTTTGTCCTGAAATTTGGAACCTTCTCTCTCACTGATGACATAAAAAACCCCAAAACCCATCACTTGACTGCACTCATCCAGCTGATTAAATGGTGACATCCAAATCCATCATGGTGTGAAACCCAAATTAAGCCATTGTTCCAAGATAAATGTTGCCTCCTTTGCTAGTACATGTCTTTACTTCGCCTTAACATTTGTCTAGCAGTGGGAAGCCTTTCTCTGGTGACAGTATTATGTTCCATCAACAGTAGATCTGGTTCTTTTTTCATTTGCATCTTGGATTCTGGCTATTGCTATAATTCGAATTACAGAATAGAGAGAGAAAGGGTTGGAAATCAGAAGACTTGCCTATTTTACTCCTAAAGGGTAATGAAATTATTAGTGCTATTTTAGACTTTTGCATGTTTTACCAATCACTGCAAGTCAGCAGTCTATAAAAAACAGGCTATTCTAAAAGAACCAGCATCCATCAGTCAGAGCAGGTGATCATTTCTTACCATAATTGGCCTCATTGTAAAACATATTTGAAGAAAACACCAGTAAAGATATGCTTTTACTTTTGTTTCATGTTCTTCTATGTTGATTTATAGATGTAAAACTGTGAACAGCATTTTTCAATAATACTAAATATCACTACTTAGAGAAGAAAAGGAATCAAAAGTCCATAATAAAAGAGTAGGGAAGGTGTGAGAAAATGTTATGCAGAAAATGTTATTGCAGAAACATTGCAGAAAATGTTATGCTTTTGTCAAGATGTGTGCTTAAGATGCCTTATATAATATATTCTTATATATATTACATAAGAATATATATAATATATATTATAAGAATATATTGAAGCATATTTTTCCAAGGGCTTCTACAATTGAGTACCTCCAACCTCCAGATCTGGCAGAATTTGGTTTTATATCCATGAAACTGGTGTCAAGCAACATTGCTGCCTAGCTGCAGGAGCAAAGGATTTGTGCTCATTATTTTAGTTCTGAGTGCTATATAGCACATGCTGACAAAGCAAGAGAAGAGACTAACTTTATTGCCTTTTTTTTTTCCTTTGGATTCTGAGTACTTCCATGTTGGAAAAGTATAGCACAGTGGGAAGAGTTGCCAAAAAGAGCAACTCTGATTCTCACCTCGGGGACATCAAGGAAGAAGTAATTGAAGAATAAAAAATCATGCCTGGATATCTTCTCTCTCTCACCATGGCAATTCCTATTAAACATCATGTAATTGCTGCAGACTTACGTTCCTTGAAGGGGTCACATTGATTTTTCTGTATGTTAAGAAAGGTTTGAGTATTGCACTTGAATTGTTACAGTGCATCCACATATGTAAGAGCTGATTTGAGATTAGCTGTTGTTTTAGACTAGCTGAATCTTCCTGAATCCCTGCTTATGTCAGACTACTCTTTACAGTACACTTTGTATTTAAAATATGTAGTGCCTTATCCAGGCTAATTTAAAATAATTGGAACTGATGAGATGCAAATATTTGCTTTAGGGCATATATAACAATAACAATATGTTCCTCTCATTTTGAGTCAACAGGTGAATGGCATAATAGCCTATGTAAATAAGCAGAGAAGCTTGAAATTATGAAACTTCAATGTAACAGTGAAAAACATTGCCACGTAGGACTCATTTTTTTCTGTTTTATCTGTCATCTCAAGCAAACAATGAAACTGAAGTTTCATTATACAAAGAAAGAATATCAAAGTAACATGGACAGGAAACCAGTTCTACTTTTTGATCTCAGGATAAAATATTTCAACCTGTACCTCAGTTTACCCATGTATTAAATACAATTACATTATATAGATAGAGCAATGAATTTTGTTGAAAAGTATTATTTAGAAATTATTCTCTTTAGACAACAAGCACTGTTTGAGAATTCATTTCATTCGTTTTTACTTGGTTGGATTACAGACATTTGTTCCAAGCTGTAAATTCAACAAAAGTCACAGATCCAGCAATGTCAATCCTGTGTACTCTACAGTGAGCTCATTTTCCCCTTGCATGTCCCCCGCACTCGCAAAGCTTCTGAAAACACAGCCATTAGTGACATTATAAGTGATAGTGTCTCCTTTTTTTGTTTTCTTTTTTTTTTTTACCCAGTACAATGCATTGTGGATATTTAACTGAGTATATCTGAACTATACCAGTATACTTTTAAGTGAACTTGAAAGTCATTCATCTGGATTTAAATTAATATTTTACATACCCATTGTTTGCCTGACAGACCAGCAATGCTACAGATGCTGGCAAAATGTCAGTGTGGAGTAAATCTTCCCTAATAAACCACACTTACCCTATACCCTAGAGTTTTTTAAAAGGACCACCAGGATCCCAAACTCATCATACATTTATCTGGAATGAACTCAAGATGTTTAATTGATACATGCTTATGTCTGAACACTGTCAAGTCTCGTAATAAGATGTTTAGTACAATACATCGGTTAGACTGCTAGAGTCCAGCTACAGTAATAAGTAATGACATTTGCAGCACAAAGGCAGCTCCCCAACGAATTGGTGACAAGAGTAAAAAGGCAATCTAGCCTGTGTAAGCTTTAAATGTGGTCTGAATTTTACAATTACATGTCCTAAAGCCCATTATTAGACATGAAGGCGATGAGAAGGAAAGCAGTCATTGCATCACTACTAACACCAATTATAGGAAACATAAATCATTCAAATTTTTGTACTTTAATAAAAATCAGCCTGAATTGGTGTTTAGAAGGAAGGATCTAGTATAGGAGCCTAATGGGATAGAAGAAAATAGAGTAATTGGAGGCTGCTGTCTTTTCACTTTCTATATAAAATTATTTGAAGAGACAGCCAAGAACTTTAAACAGCAGAAACCCGGAAAAGTTGTAATTTGGATGTCTTCAGTTGTGACTTTAATGGTGTTTGCTTAAAGAGCTTTCTTTTATCTCTGCAGACATACTTCAATGACAATATCCTCACACTGATACGGACATTGGTAACAGGAGGAGCCACACCAGAGCTGGAAGCACTGATTGCTGAGGAAAATGCATTGAGAGGAGGTTACAGCACGCCCCAGACACTTGCAAACAGGGACAGGTGTCGAGTTGCTCAGCTGGCTTTGTATGATGGGCCGTTTGCAGACCTAGGGGTAAGATCATGAGGGAAATGTAGGACCAAGGCTGGTCTGCACTCTATTTGCTTTCTTTCAGATCGAGTGAAAAATCTGTCTTAATAAGCCTATAGTTTCTGTAATTTAGTAGAGCTTTTGAATTGTTTAACAATTTACAGCACAGGGTGCTAGCTTTGCTCGTAACCTTTTTAAGCAGCTCTATGACTGCCCAGTGTCCTTGCCTGCATATTTCATACAGAAAATCCTGTAGGTCTTCTTTGTCAGCTAAAGAGATGGATGAACTGATTTGGATGATGTAACTATTCTAACAATAATGCATTGTAAATGTAAGTAATATATATACTTTTGTTGGGCTTTGATAAGCTTATAGTGTTTTCATAGAGCTTACATTTCTTAAAATATGCTTATTAGCTTGAAAACAAATCTATAAGCTTTGTTTTCTGCTGTTTCTGGATGAACTAAAATTCTTGTGAAATCCTAATTTTCTGATATTTTGACTGCACTATCCTAAGAATAAAGTAGAAAAACAAAAAAACAAACAAACAAAAATATAAAAAAAACAAACCCAAATAGACAAATGATCTTTAAAAAAAAGTGCATTTGGATAAATAAGTATCTAGAAATTTTTTCTGGACCACGTTTTGAAATCTTGAGGTGAATCCCAAAGCACCCACTTCACTTTGGTGATGATGTTGGATTTGGTATTTCTTAAATTAACCTTGTGTTCACCAGCTCTGTTCAAAAAGAATGGAGCAACCTTCTTCACAAAAATGACAGGGAATCTCAGTTCAAGGATTAAGGGCAGCAAGAGTATACAGCTAGAAGCAAACAGCCTTTCAATTCTTGTAGAAGTCCAGTTGTAGCTAAGACTAACAGCTCATCAAAACACTTGGGCATGCAGCATAACATTTCCAGAAATAAACCAAGCAATACCAATCCTTTCAAATCCTTTCACCAGAGCCTCAATTGCACTTACATCTGTGAGGGCAGAATGCATTAACACCCTATTACTTAAGAATCACTCTTTTAGATACATGAATGATCAAATCTAAACTTTTTTTTGCTAATCAAAACATTTTATGTTATTTATGAAAAATGGCACACATCTCATCTTTATTTTACAGAGGGAGATATTTTGTTATCCTTTTAACCCTGCAGAACTCTAATTTCTGTTGTGCTCTCTGGTGAATTTTTTTCATACTGGATGACAGTATGGCTGCTGCCAAGAAAGGGTCAAAGATACTAACAATTTTAATACCACAGTTAATGTAATTTGTAGAATATGCATTGTGTGCTACCAAAATTTATATTTCCAGCTGAAAGCAAATCACTCTTTACAATTTACCATCATTTCAGGGACCAAGGCTCTCTAAAATAACGATCACTTTACATAGTTAATTATTTGAAATAAAACATTTAGATTATTCATTTCCTTGGATAAAAGGTTCTCATTTGAGACAAACAACAAACTATCTATATATTGTCTTTTTTTATAAGTTCATATTGAAAAACCTGATCCCCAACGTTGTGTTAACAGAGAAAAGAAAGGAAATAAATGTGCTGTTCTGTTGTTCTTTTTAATCTCTCCCCTCATTCTCCTAGGATGGAGGTTGTTATGGAGATCTATTTTGTAAAGCACTGAAAACATACAATATGCTTTGCTTTGGAATTTATCGATTAAGGGATGCACATCTAAGCACTCCCAGCCAATGCACTAAACGGTAAGTCCAGTCTTCTAGAACATCTCAGCTTCACTGTTCTTCAGTCTTCTCAGCAAGGAAGATCTCAGGGCCTGTAATAAATCTAAAAAAAGACCTTTCTCCATTTTTGGCATAACTTTGCCACAATAGCTAAGTCTTTGAGACTTCACAATGACTCTTTAGCTGACTTTAAATTATAAGCTGGATATCACAGCATAAATTTTTAGCTAATTTTATTCAAAAAAATTTTAATTAAATTTTCAGAATTTATCTTTATTTTGTTTGATTTAGGATGATCCACTGTTTGCATGCAAGGAAAGGACTTCAGTTTCCTGATGTCAATCAAATGTAAATTACAGGATAATAATTCAAGTTATAGTAGCTAGTCTTTTTTCTGAACGCTCAAAAAATACTCCTTTGGGCTTCCCATCAGTACTATTTGTATCTAATCATAATTTCTTCCAGTAAATGGAAATCCTTCCCTTGGTAGACCACATTTTTACTTCAGGAGCACCAAGCCTGACCCCAGTGCTTTAAATGGAGCAGACACATTTCCATCTTTGCAAACTGAAGGCCATTTAGTAGCTTGCTTGAAATGTGTCTTAAGTAAGTGCCTGCTAGAAATACACACACAGACCTGTACCAGAAGTATCACAAATCTACCATCTGTTACTGTTTCATGCTGTACAAAAAGCATCATTATTGGGTGAACATGGCAATAAACAACCCTGCAGGCCACCAGAGTGGTTTCTTCTGTAAGGATTTGGATAAATTGGGTAGAAAAAATGATTTGCAGTTTAGATTTACACTACATTTGCTATACTCGGGTTATTTGTTGGATTATTAAGGGAATTCTGTCCCTGAAGCAGCTAAGCAGATTTCTTATGAGCACAGAATTAATTTGAAAAGAAATTGTGAGCTTCATATTCAATTTTTACTCATTTCTTGCTCCGACAGAAAATACCTATTGCCTTCCTCAAGTATGTTTTTCATGTGCATGATAAAATTTAGCAGCTGCTCTATAAGCCCTTCCTACCCTGAAAGGGCATTAGGTGAAGAATTAGGAAATGCTTGAAACTGAGCAAGTTTTTATTTTAGACCTGGGATTTATACTAAGCAATGTTGGACTCTTGGATGTGCAGATTTCTCTTTATAAATGCTCTTTGAGGCCATGAATGTACATGTGGAATGGATGAGCAAAATTAACCTCACTACAAATTTTTTGATATATTTTCCTTAACTTGTTTTATGTAGAGTCACAATCCAAGCAAATAATTGTAACCCTTGCTTTATTGACAGTATTTAAATATTTAAGAACTGTATATATTAAATATGTATTTAAATAGAACTGCATATAAAATCTCCGTCTCCTTGCTTTTCAGTCATTCTTTTAAATATTGTTTCTGGTGGGTATGTTACTGGTTTTTGTCTATATGTAAATCTGTTTGCTAGAGTCACTGCATTATGGTGCAGCTAGAGAAAGGAGAATGGTTTGCATGGTGTCTTCTCTGAAAAATCACTATGTGATTCACTTGAAGCACATCCTCCTCAGACATTATGTCTTTCCAACAGAAAACATGCAAAAAGTAATAGCTGATGTAAGAAGGTCCTAAATCATAATAGGAATTATCTGATCTAAAATTAGGTATATACTGCAGGAAACAAATGCAAAAATCTGGCTAGATCTCATGAGCTAGCAACTCTAGAAGAAATTTTTTGAAATAAATCTAAACCTGTTTTCTCTTTCTTTTTTTCTTTCTTCCTTTTTTTCCAGTTATGTTATCACAAACCCACCGTATGAATTTGAGCTTGTGCCGACAGACTTGATCTTCTGTTTGATGCAATTTGACCACAATGCTGGCCAGTCCCGAGCCAGTCTTTCTCATTCCTCCCATTCCTCCTATTCTTCCAGCAAGAAGAGCTCATCAGTTCACTCTATCCCATCAACAGCAAATCGACCGAACCGCACCAAGACCAGGGATTCCCGGGAAAAACAGAAGTATGTGCAGGAAGATAGACTTTGATATGTGTATCTACTCCCACTGTGTGTGAAACTTGCATTCACCACCCATTCTCCCCAGTTAATGTTTCCAGCAGTGATGTTCCCTGTTTTCCCATGGAGTTCTCCCTTTTTGTACACATATTTTGCATATGTATGACAGTGTGCATGTGATTGTCATTTTTATTTCACCACCATAAAACCCTTAAGCACAACAGCAACAAAGCAGACGGACCAAAAGTTATTTATGATGCTAGGGGAGAATAAAAAAGAATTTCAAACCTATAGGCACACTGAAAACATAAATAACTCACTGCAGTTACTCTACATATCCAAAAATAGAGAATATTGAACATGAACACTTGCTCTTGATGTCTGAGATACACAAAGAAAGTCATTTAGTGCAGAAGTGATGATGTATGTTGAGGTATGGGGTTTTTTTATATTCATATTTAGAGGAGCTGATACATTAATTTGAAGCTTATAAAACTATAGGAAAAAAAAAACAACCTGCAAAAAAAATTCCCTACTGATTTTTCACTCTCAAAGCTTATATTATATAGGGCTTACACTTTGTATAGATTACTGCTACGCACCTGCTTTATACCAAAGCAATATCAGGGACTTTTCTGCTTGTTTAAGGATTTTCTCTAAAATACTAGCCCTTTGGAGATAGTGTGTTTTCCCTTTTACACTGATATTGTCTGGGCATGAAGCTTTAAAACTCCAATGGTTTAATTTAAGTTTAGAAAGAGTCTAATTGCATATTAAATTATTATTCTGTCTATTTATACTGCCACATGAATAGCTATATTTTCTTTCACTTTTGACATTTGGAATAAAAAGCCATATGTATCATAAATATTGGATGTAAGTCATTAAAAACTGCCTTCCTGGGACTTTTACGTCTTTAAAAGGTGAATTAGTCACCTTATGTACAGAATAAATAATGTTCAGAAAAGAGCAAGCATTTTTCTATGCTTACATATCAGATCTCGAGGGACTTTGTTCCTTTCCCCAGATGGTAGTTTAACTTTTCCAAGTTAGAGTGCTGGTATAAATCTTCCAACAAGAGTCCTAATGTGTAAAGATCCTCCAGAAATCTTGCTGCATGTTCTGGTTTTTTTTCCAACAGGTGCATGCCAATTTGCAGGAATACAGGGAAAGACAACTGAGTGCCTTTAAGTCTCTCCCATTGGGGAAGAAAAGGTGCTGTGCCCTAGACAGCTAATGAGGAGAACAAGAGGGATGGGTTGGAAATATTCACTGTGTTGTGGCATCATGTTTTAGGCACTTGCCTGAATTTAGTTCTTGCAGATTTTCACCAATGACACATGTAGCCAAAAAAAATTGTGTCAGGGAACTAAATAAAGTAGTGGAAAGGAACCTACTCTAGACAGCCATAGAAATGATACTTCAGGCTTGCTTTTATATTTTTTTATTTAAATTTCAGAAGCCAACCTTTTGATATACAACTAGTTCTAGGTATATGGAGAGTTTCTTAGGGTAGGGAGGGCAGTAACACATCCTCTTTCCTGGCTACCCAGCAAGAAAGCATGCAGACACAAAATAAATATTTGGATTTGGAATTATTAGCATTGTAACTGCCAACTCAGACAAGGTGCTTTTATGGTTAGTATTGTTTTCTACCTTCCCCTTCCCCGAGCATGATAATTTTAAAGATTTGCTTGCTGTGTGAATTGACAATGAAGCCAAGCACTTTTACTGACAAAACCTGGAACCATGTAAGTGGGCTACAGAGAATACCACTGTGCAGTGCTAACCATAATGATTGGATTACAGTATATATGTGTGTGTGTGCATTCAAATGCAGCTGTAAGTCCAATCAGTGAAATACGTTGCAAATTACGGATGCTCTCCTACAAATGAGGCTATTACAGTTACTCTTCATCGTAAAGAAAAATTCATGTGTTTCTTTTTGCAAAGAAAGTTATCATGTTTTGCCCTGAGAATATTTATTACTTCAAGGATGTGCCAGTTAAAGTGCTCAACCAGAAATATGACAGTTTAAAAGCATTGTAAAACTTACATAGCTTACTTCTTTTTCTAAAGTGCAACAAGGATGAATAGAATGGGCCAAGGTATGAAAATTAATGGTTCTGCATGACCTAGCAACTGCTGTGGGTTTCCTTCTATAACTTTGTCCTTGTGAAAACTTGTGAAATTAAAAAAAAATAGTTACAAACTTTATTCAGTTATTGGTTTGTTTGTTTGGTTGGTTGTTTTGTTGGTTTTCCTTTGCCTTTTTTTCCCTCCAAACCAAAAGTAAAACTGGCTGCTGCTGCTGCTGCTGTTGCTCAACCCTCTTTTATTTTTTGTCCTCTCATCTGCTTGCCTTTCTAATTGCACGTGTCCTTTTGTAAACACCCAGGTTCCTGCTCAATGAAGATGCCTATTCTGGTGCAGACATTAATTTCCCATTCCTCATTCCAATTTCTCTCCTCTCTTCCCCTCCCTACTCTCCTATCCCTTGTGTGTGTACATGAGCATCTTTTTATGTTGGCAATATTGATTGAAGATAGTCAAGAGCAGTTATGCATTTTGGAAGAATGTTAATGGCTTTGACACCAAAATGCTTTTCCATTAATGTTTTATCTGTTTTCCATTTAGCAGAGAAAGGAAGGGTGTTAATATGAAGCCACTTGTCACATCATACATAATGATTTTTTTTTTAAAAATAGTATTTGTGTAACTGTGCAGCTCAAATAGAAAAATATAAACAGTGTACATTAGAGAAGCAACTTGTCTACTTTATGAGCAGCAGAAGAGGAATATCTAATATGGATGCAAATCTGAATTCTTCAAAATTTATTGAAGTCCAGTTCACCTCTGTCCTAAAGATAGAATTCTAAAAGTTTTGCCTTTCAGCTATATCATGCGCAATTTCCACTGCTGATAGTCAGATTGATCAAATAGTTTATTACAGTGATAAAGATTTTCTGATACAGTTATACTAATGCAACTGGGACGTTGGTCATTACAAGTAGAGAAATGCTTAAATCAACCATGTTATGTTGGATTTTATGTTGAAAAGTAAGAGGAAATCTCCTGTCCTATTCCAAGTCAAACATCCTTAGTAGTATGGTTAGTTTCTGAAAGCTGGAAAGTATCACCAATGTCAAGAGAAGACTTTTTAGATCTTTAAATGGAGGTCCTGCCATTTATATCAGTCCCAGCACAGTTTCAACATTGGAAACTAGGTTCTTAGTGAGCTTAAGTGTTGACACAAAACCGTGTCTAGCAAACCTGCAGGTTCTAGGCATGGGTTCCCCCTGACTTAAACAGAGAGTCAGGCATTTTCCAGTGAAATTCCATTGTCAAAAGTAAGAATTTTTCTAGTTTAAAAAATAGAAAATCACTAAGAGCAAGTGCAGAACAGAATTTTTGTCACAAAACTTTAGCTGTCTTGGAGCAAAATAAAGACTTTCACAGAAAGTAAGAATAGTTCCTTGTCTCTCTCCCTGCAAATTGCTTACTGCCTGCTACAGGTAAAATACTCATCTGCCAAACAAAGAGTTCCTGAGCAGGTGGATGGGGAAACTTTCCCTTTTTTCTCATACAGGAACAAATTGCACAGGAGAATTTTCAACTTAGTTATAAAAAAGCTGGCTGCATGGAGGGAGGAGACACACAAACACATACATATAGACTAATTTGAAGATGCAAGTGTCACAAAAGAGAAAAAAATGTGTGTTTTAAACAACGGTAAGGTAACCTGAGATTATGGTGAGAATACAAATTTAGTAAAATCTTTGTGTTATCTAGTACTTTACTTTGTGTTAACTTTACTTCTTTACTTTTCTTCTTTACTTCTGCTCAGAAGAGAGGATGTTTCACAGTGACGTTTGTTCTAAGTTGTTACTTAGTCCAGAATTAATGACAGAAATTTTAAAGCACCAGACTGTTGGAGATAATTGCTGGTGTCTTATACAAGTCAAAGAAATCTGTATTTTGATCATTTTACTTTAATTATTTATATCCTTTTTTTGTGCTGCAGGGAAGAGTCTAACACAAAAATGTTAATTTTTATTTATTTGTAATAAGAGCATGAAGCCTTTAGAACCTTTGTGGATGCACTGGGATGCTGATAGCCCATTAAAACATGAGTGTTTGAGAGGAAAGTAAATGTTTTCTGCTTTCTGAGACATGCAGTTACTTAGCTGTTCCAACATCTCTCAGGTGATGCTGTCAAAAACAAACCTGCCAAACAGTGTAGGGAGATCAGGGACTCTCTTCAATAGCTCTTAAAAAGAAATGAAAAACTGTGCCTATTATCTCTATAATGTAGAAACACATATGGTAAGGATCAATGTGCGTATTCCAAAAGGGACAGAAATCGGAACGTGACAGAGTCCTAAAAAGAGCTTGGTGGATATAACAATATTGAAAGACTTAAAAAGGGGATTTTCTGAACTACTTTAAAGGATAGAGTAAGTAGTTTATTTAAGATAAGTAAAAATCTGTGCTAAAACTCCGGAAGACATATCACAGTCCGACTGTGAGCGTAGTATAAAAGAATGAAAAGTGTAAAACATTCAAGAAGGACATTTAGTAACTTGGAGCAGAATATCTTAGTGGTCAAGAGTAAAGATGAGGAGTGTTAAGCTTACGTTTCAAAGGTAAGTATAGAGGTTGATGAACTTTCACAGGAAATTCATTGTTATGTGGCCAAAGACAATTTTAACAGCAGAAAGGAACAGGAAAGGTATAAAGCTGGGTCCAACCATTTGATACTGGAGTTGCTAGTGCTTAGATCAAAGTTTCAGCACTGGCAAAAAGAAATCTAAGCAGCAGAAGAAATTAGAATCTACCAGTTTCTGCAATTATTATTAATGTTCTGTATTTATTACTTGCCAACTAAATGCAAAAAGAGATGCAATGGTGTCTTTTTAAAGATCAGCTCCCCATATATATGAGTTTTATTGTAAAGATTAACATATAAATAATTAGCTTGTTTTGAAAATTTTAGGGAAAGCAGAGTGTTTGGAAGTGCTTTACACTGGCTGCTGAGAAACACAATGCAGTTATGATCCTTAGCACTCAAGCAGTTCTCCCCTTTCTTGCTACAACATTGAATTAACTTGCACCAAGTTCTGTTTGTAAGGAAAGTTTGTGCACAATGTGTTAGAAAAGAAGTTAGCAGTGCTTAACTTGTCTCAAAATCATTTTAAACACAAACCATTAGAAAACTGTTAGTTTGAAATTGTTTATGTGATCTCGCAAGGCTTTTAAAACATGATAACCATCACACTTTACACCTCTCTGAAAGGTTAGTTTAATCGTAGATCACATAAAATTGGTTTCCACAAATGCATAATGGTTCATGTGTCACACTTGAACTAAATGGTTTTTTAAATGGAGCTGAAATTATTTTGATGTGTACACATTCCCAGATTTTTTTTTCTGACAACCTTTCTTAAACTGGCCCCCATCAGGAATCATTCCCTTAAAGTCTCATTAATAATTCAGATGTTCTGATTACTTTAAAAGATCTATGGAATTGAGGCTTCTTTTTTTTTTTTAACTGCTTGACAAAAAGATAAATGAATGTAGAAAGAAGCAGTAGGAGTCTGGCAAGCTGTAGATCATCTCTGAACAGATTGTAACTTTATCATTCTGTCAGGAAGAATAATTTAAAGCACTTAATCAGTTAGCTTCAGTGTGCAGGATGTAACATTATGAATTCCTATCGTCCAATCTGTTCAAATCAAAGGGAACTTAATTATAATAGGTAAAAGAGAGAGGAAGATGGGCGATTGAACATTGTTCAGATTCAGGCAACTTTAAGGGGGTAGGGAATTATTCAATCTGGTCGCAAATGAGTAGGATCTTTTTAAACAAAAGTAAAAAACATTTTAGAAAATGACAAGAAAAACAGTATAGTATTGCCATTTGCTTTGAGTAATAAGCCACTAATGAGTAATATAATTCCTTTTTTTTCAATTTAATTTTTTTAAAAAGTGTAAGAACGGGTAACAAATAGATCGGGGAAAAAAAAAGCTGGATTAAATGCTTATGAGTTTGGGGTTTGTTGTTGGGGGATGGGGGTGCTGCATGTATATTCTTGAAATCCGTATCAAGTGTAAGTGTTTAAATGGGATATTCACGAAAGTGACTGAGAAGTCCAGTAATTCTGGAAATTAGGCTACCTCTTGAGAGGCTCTAACTCCAAAGCTGGTTGCTTATTTTTGTGCAGTTATGCCCAGGTATTTGTCCTTTATTCTTCCCAGTCTTTCAGTTTCTTTTCTCTCCTTTACCTCCTGAGCTTTTGTGCTTGATCCTTGAGTTTCCAAGGTGGATTTTGCTTTGCTTATTTTTAATCATTTATTTATTAAAAAATGAGTATTTCTTCCACTCCTGTCCTGATTCCAGATAGTGCAGCATTTCAGTGGTTTGTAAAAGTAGCAATTTGTATTACGTAAGCGAGACACTAAAGCTTCTGCAGCATTTTGGCTTCCACATTGGAATGAGAAATAGTGCATACATGTAAGAGCAGCAGCTCTGACATGGCACACTTTAAAACTTACATATAATAATGAAAATGCCCAGAACCATAAGTGTCCACTGCCCTGCCCTCCCACCTCTGGAATTTGGGGAAGGAGGACAAGAATGGAGACCCCTGTTCACAAATGCTTGTCAAAGCACAAGCATGCCTAATGGCAGTAAGCCACTCTTTAGACCAGGAGTTTCTAAGTCTTTGAATAGAGCTATCTTATAAAGTTGCACACCTGTAATTGAGAAATTACAAAAGAAATTGGTCTCTAAAGGGTTGAATAAAATTATTTTTATTTTTTCCTTTTGTGAATTTTAAAAAGTTTTTGTCCACACCCACATATGAGCAGTGCAATATAATGGTTACAATGATAAACAACTAGGGAATGGCTGCAATGCTGCAGCCCCTCAGCATCCTCACTCCCTCCCATATTGCTCCCATCCCACCTTAAAGCGTACCATAAAATTCCTCCTATGTTCATGGAAACGGACACTGCCCAAAGATACAAAAGAAACAGCTTCCTCTAATCTTCCTTTAACTCCTTGCTTCCTTTGCCTTGCTGTCACCTATGACAACCAGTCCATTCATGATTAGCTGGAGCCCCTACTACAGTCACCTGCTGCACCTGGTGTATTCCATGCACCTTCTTAAACTGTAGAGTTCAGCAGTGCCCAAGCACCGATGTTTCAAAGTAACGATATAAATCCCACCCTGTGTAGGAAGGCTGCCATCTGGCAGCATGAATAAAAGTCCTGTTTATTCTAGCACCAACTGCAGAAAGCTCTCTTCATTCTCCTGCATGATTTCTGAGACAGCAGTAGCAACCATCCGGAGGTTGAAATGGTTCAGAGAAGTGTCTGCCTCTTTAGGTGCTTCTCTGTGTATAGACTCACATGCTCTTTTCTGCATTACCCTTATCCCAGCTGCTCTCCCTGGCTTCTCAGTATCATTTTTTCAATAAATGAGTCAGAGAGTGTTCACCTAAGGATGGGATAAAAAAAGATCCAACAAGAAAACTAACGTATTGGCAGTTTTCTTTAGTTTCTGTTATCAAATCTGCAAACATCATCTTCCTTTCATGAACAGTATTTTCAGAGGTATTAATCTCATGCTGTACTGCTAGTAATCAATCAATCACCTTCTGTTGATCTATTTTCTCTATAAACTTTACTGACTGCTCCCCCCCTTTTATTTGAATTTTTATGTGTATATGTATTTCACTAATTAAAACTTTCATTTTCCTTCCTTATTCTGTCTCTACCTGTTTCGCTCCTTAGCAGAAAAGAAATGGTTTACAGATGAGCCGGATAATGCCTATCCCAGAAACATTCAAATCAAGCCCATGAGCACTCACATGGCCAATCAGATCAATCAATATAAATCAACAAGCAGCTTGATACCACCAATCCGAGAAGTTGAAGATGAATGTTGACTCCTTCGAGGCCAGAACTATTTTTTTAAAGCCTGACAAACTTCATGAATGGTGATGTGACATTTATTCCTCTTACATGCTGAACCACTGATGGAGAAGTTAAGAAGGGCAAGCTTAATGGGAAACTGAAGTAGACAGATCTTTGTTTGTCTGCCTTTAATATTGCTTCCACGTATTTTGGAAACTATTTCATTTATAAATGAACATAATCAAAACTAGTAATGTATAGCCTCTAGCATTTTAAATTATTTTTATTTATTAGAAAAAAATATATTTTTTTCTTTTTTTTTCATTGTCAAGTATTTTCCCTTAAAAAAACCTGCATGTGTGGCCAGACTCCTAAGAATTAAAAAAAAAAAAACAAACAAACAAGAAACCCTCAGTCTTTGGCTTAAAGGAGAATGATGGTCACAGTTATAAGGATGTGTAATTAAGGGAGGCAAATGATATATTTACAAAAAGGGAAAAAAAAAGGTCCAACTTGTATTTTAGTAAATCAAAAAAAAAAAAAAACAACCAAAAAAAAATCACCCTACAACAATTCACCAAAATGTTTCTTTACTGGAAGATGTGTATTTTGTTCAGCATCAACACCAGCTCTTAATAAACTGAACTTATTTATTTTCAAAGTCGAAAGTCATATTTTTGTACATGTAACATTCTTCTGAAATATCCTTTGTTTTATTAACATACATAGATCATCTTAATTGCCAGTTATGTGAGGGTCCAGTAACCCCCCACACGCACTGCACCCTGCCCTGTCTCACGTGCACACACACCCACAGAGAAACCCGGCATCCTCAGTAACTTTCCGTAACACTGGCATAGGGAATGTCCCTGCCCTAAACCAAGGGCCGTGTAGATAAGGTGCACTTGCTATAAATGGCAAATCTGGCAATCTCACTTCACTTCCCATTAGCCATCAGCAGTTGCTAATTTCAGGAAGGCAGTTTTGGCAATTCTTTTGCCATGTATTACAGTGCTTTCATCCAGGCTGCATAAAATAGCGCATGGAAGCATAAGTTATAAACTGTCTGATCTACCATATTTTGTTACTTCTTTACTTCAAAAGTGCTGATGGCCTTTCATTGGTCTGATTTGGTTCAAATGCTTCCTGATACATATAGAGATTTAGCTCCAGCTCCTTGCACTTTGGTGATAGCTCATACCTTAGTAAAGGACACACTGAATCTCCTTTTGGGGAATTCAGATCAAGATAAAAACTGGTTTAGCCTCAGCTCTATAATCGTGCAACATGCTGTCCTCAGTTAATTCTTGCACCAAGCAACATCTTATTTTAGCAGTTGATTTTTGGTTTTGTTTTTTTTTTATCCCTCTAATTTATTTTCACTTTGCTGGGACACCACACATAAAAGTACGGTAATAACCAAATCAAAATAATAATGAATGTATTTATTATGATAACATGCAAAAGGCCTTTGATAGGTGCCTTTTGTGTCAGCAGTTTCACAAAGTTGCCAACAAGCTTTATAGCCATCAGACAAAAATGTGATGTTTCATATCTGTGCTGCAGTACCTATCCACCCAAGCATTTATGTTCTAAATGATTTAGTAACTCTCTCTATCTCAAAGAAGCAACATCTGACACAATTGTATGAAGAAAAACAAAAAGAAAAGGCTGTGGTAATAAGGAAACAAAAACCAAAAACCCAAAACAGAGTCATCAGGAAAGGAGGATTTTCATTGTGCAAGTTAACTTTAGGCTTTGTAATTTTGCAGAATTGTTAAACACCACAATAAAACATACTGTGGTATTTTTATCAGTAGAGAAATATCAGTGAATCAAACAAATACAAAGCAGATGATGAATTTATTGTGAAAACAATGATGTCCACTATATAATCCAACATTTAAGCCAATCTATTCAGCTTTAATGTTTGTCCACTGGCTGCAGTACAAGTATAACCATACTAACACCTAATAGGCTTTATTCTGGAGTGACTTCTTGGACTGTGACTATTTTGTTGTTACATTTGTAGAATAGCTATTTAAAGACAATAACAAGAATTGTTAATACAGTATCTGTAAAATTGGATTGTTTAAAATATTTCACTCTCCTCCTACAAAGTAAAAAAACAGTTCAAGCAGTTTTTCATAATTATTTAGACCATGTTTAACACATTTCACAGTCCCCAAAAGAGAAGATAATTCCAGTGAGTTCTTCCGATCTACGCTGCGTCAGCCTAGTGACACATTATAATTTACATCTAGTTTCTGCGTTGGGTCATGTTAAGCCTTTTCTTTGAAGTCAGTGCTCCTTTTTCATTTATGAACTGCATATTATAACCAGAATGGAAAAGCTGGTCCTGAGTACAGGTGAATTTTAGAAATTTGTGCTCAACCTCACCAAGTACATATGATTTCTTTTTTTTTTTTTTCTTAGAAGACTGGTGTTTACTGTAGAGGCATAGAACATTATATCTTATACTTTATCATACACAGTGCCATTTCTGAGTGTCTTTCCTTCAGAAGTGAGCATTCCCTGGATAAAACATACTAGTGAAACAAATACAACACTCCTACATAGCTAAGGTGTGTGTGTCTCTGTCCAGTTTAACTGTCACACCCAGAAATACCACACTACCAACTGTATATAAATAAAGGACAAAATCTGAACACACTCACGGACTCTCCTGGCACAGCCAGTTCCATATGTAGTGATGGATAGAACACCAACTGTAGAGAGCAAACAAGACAGAGAGAAACAGGTAGAGTTATGATTTTACATTTCCCCTTTACAGAAAAGCTAAAAACAATAGTCTTTTCCAACTCCTATTTTTGATGATCAAAGATGCAGGATTGACTTCTGGCAATTAGATGGAAGAACATGTAGAAAACCTATTGGAGATCTTTGATATTCAGCCACTAAAAACTACAATAAGGCCAGCATCAATATGTGGATATATGAAGTTACATTAAAGCTGGGAAAAGGCTGGGAAAGGGGCCTAAGTGACAGCTGACAGACCACACAACGACTGATGTAGAGATAAGTTCTTGATTTTTATTAATAATTCTTAATCCTTTCTGAAAAGGCAAAAAGAAAAGGGCAGGGTGAGAGGAATTTCGAGTTTTTCAATAATTGCATGCACAATTGATACAGGTTATACAATTTTTTTTCGGTAACTCCTATTGGATAGATAGTGTGTCTGTGTCTGTGTGTGTGTTTGCATATATGCATGTCCATACATACACATATATGTAGACATACACACATATACATGAGGGTATATATGTATTTGATTGAGTCATCATATGAGGGTGGACATCATTTTTATTGTCCATGCATTGAGGCGAAGAAAGACACAAAAAAAAGAAAATATGTGGATAACAGGGTAGCACATGAAGGAGTTGTATCTGCTGTTTTCTCCTGGTTTGACCAAAAAGCAGCCATTCTTGTTAGTTTTATGAGGGATGCACCGTAAGTTCACTGCAGAACACACCTCCCTCCACTGCTGCAGCAGGCACGTGCTCCTCACACCCATACACTTGCACATTGCCAGAAAGTCTGCTCTCTCTCTCTATGTCATGGCTGTTATTTTAATTTGTCCCCATGAAGCACTAAGATTAAAGGATAAAACTGTCCTCTAATAGATTTGGTGGCAAGTGCCAAGCACAGCAAAAGTTAAGCTATAAAGAAGATATTCATAGTCTAAATGCAATTTTTTTAAGGCTTCTATCTGATTGCCTTACTGCTGTAAGAAATGTAAACATTTCCTTGTAGTTTTTGAATATGTACTAAAACTGTCACTGCCATCTTAACAGCTTGTCTTTCAAATCAGCATCAATGGCCAAACAGTAGGAAATACATGTGACAGAAAGTACAGACCCCTTGATCTGGGCCAGGTATGGTCACTTGGATATGAAAAGACTTAATTGGCCTCAGCAAATGTGGAAAAGGGCAAATGTAAATTGCATGCACTGTACAAGGGACACTACAAATCATTTTTGTTGTTGGGTGGTGGTGAGTATTATTGTTGGCTATTTTTGGCCTGTGTAAGGAAGATTTCACATTTCTTGATCTCTTCATATAGTAGGAGAAGGAGAAAGTGCAATAGTGTATTCTCATTCAGGGAGGACTGGTTTTGTTGGGGTGTGGGTGTGAGTGTGTGTGTTTCTGTGTAAACTACATCTAACATCTACTGCAATAATTGGGTGCATAAACTAATGCATGACAAAAAAGCAATAATTTACAAATGGGTTATTATTCATGTTATCACTGCTTGATCACTCATCAGCCAATTCATAATCATGTTAGCAACTGCCCTGGTCTAGCTGACTCACATGGCTCAAGCTCAAACACTGAGCAGGTGCTTAAATTATTTTATCCAGAAGTGAATTCCTAAGGGCTCCTGGATCCCAATGTATTTGAAATGAACACAAATTGAGTTCGAGGTGTGTGTGTGTATGTGTGTTATTTTTTTTTTTTACAGCTGTTATCATTGTGAATTTCTTTAGCACCAAAAGAAGTGTGTATCTCACCTTTCATTTCTAGTTTTAAATGTGCTTAAACAAAATAACCAAGTGTGTGAAAGGCGATGAACAAGACAAAGTGAAAACAGAAATCTGTTCCCTGTGTTACAGTGGTTTAGTCTGGGAATATCTGTCAAAATCAATGGCAAATGCATAAAAAAATTCAGGGGAAAGGAATACTCTTTATATTCTTTCTGTTGCTTTCCATTCTGTGCCATCTGAACCAACGAAATCCCCAACATACAAACAAGCACATTTTTAATTTAGTTTGTTTTTTAATTCTAAAGATGCTTGAACAATCACAGGCTTAAGGGAAGTTTTTTTTGAAAACTCATTATATATACACACCAGGTGTTCTAATATTCCATTAGTAGGCCTAATATTTATAGTATTTTCATGCTGAGCAATAGTAGTGGGTGTGGGTTACAGCCCCCATCTGAAATAATGAAAGGAATGGAGTAGCTGTTCTGCTGTGGTCACTGCCTAGGAAGGTACATAGGCCTATAGTATTGATAAGTCTGTCTCAGCATTTATCAAAGCTATATTTATACAAGTAATGTATCTTCTTCTGCACAGATTTTCTCTGCTATAGAACATGCTGCCACACTGAAACTGTATAGTCTCTGTGCAGTAGTCTATATAACCAAGTAATTCACTGAAGTGAATAGCTAGGACTGCTGGTCTAATTTATCTGTTCTATACAATGGTGTGTTACTGTTAAAATGAGAAGGAGTAAGGAAAATGAAGAAAATAGAAAATATAAGGTGTTTCTTTTATTACTTTGGGTATAATTTAGAACAATAATTTAAGAAGCTAAACACAGTAATGCTGCACCTAACTAGAACCTTAATGAGGTTGAAAGAAGGCTTCTTACTGCTTCAGTCAATGTATCTTAGAGGAGATCTCTATAACTTAAAAAAACAAAAACAAAAACCACAAAAAAACAACCCAGAACACAGCATATAGGCAGTTGAATACCTGTAATAGAAAACATAGATTTTTCAGAAACAAAAAATGTTTTGTTGACTGGACAATAACTAACAGGAACCACATTAAAGTGTCAGCAGAAGTTATAATCAGTTAAAAAATGCCGCTTCTGCCATGGTGTAGCTTGGGACACATGAGCTTAGCCAATGCAAATAACCTAACTTCTGGGGGAAAAAAAATGATATAACTCTAACTTTCACATTTTTGTAGAGTTCAAGACTGATGAAGTAATTTTCTTCCTTCAGGAAAACACACACATGTCAACACATATATACAATATATTTTAATTGTTTCATATGTCTAGTTATAGTTTGGGAGTGAGGATGCAAGGGGGTACATTGAGAACCAGCTACCATTTTAAGGTAAAAGTTCATCAAGAAAAAGGAGTATGACTTCATCATTTTACTTTTACCATTATGGGTTGGTGAGAGAGAACAAATGCTGGTGCTCAGAAATGATCTACCTGACTTTGTCATATGTAATATCCAGTGATAAAAATATTGTCCTGTAAAAAGGGTTTGTACATAACTTGTACATGGTTTCATTTTGTATTTTTCTCAGATTAAAATTTATGTATTTGTGTTCTAAAAGAAGGAGAGATTTCTGTGTTTTCTTTTTTTCCTTCTAGAAAAGTTTGTAACATGTATCATCAAGTCATGAATAATAATTCACGAAACCAATGCTATTAATACTTTGACATAAGACTAACCCAGAGCCTTTCTCTATTGCTTAAGCTCCAGAATCAGCCTCTTGGTAATGATAACTTATATCAGCTACTGTGCAGGATGCTGTGAGGGCATAATTCTGCAGTAGCAACAAATGTCACCCTCATACCCGCTCTGTAGTCAAATACAGATATAGTATGGTTTGATTTAGCTACTTTCCATTGATTATGATGGATTGATAATTTTGCTAAGCAGTCCAAAAATGTTCTCCTTTCTCATGATGAGAATTTAAAAATTATTTGCAAGTTTTGGACTATGCTTCAATTGCAGCTCAGGAATTATGTGTCATCCTACATGCAACTGTATGTTTTTAAGCTTAAGAAAAACTAAGTCTCCTTTTGGAGTCTGTAACATTCTGGCATTCTGCTATTAAATAACCTTGTTATTTAAAGTTGACATCATTAATCTTCTGTGCAGCAGTATCACCACAGTGATTTGCAATCAACCACAGTATGATGAACTTTGGTTCTGAATAATGGAGAGGAAAGAAGAGGAGCAGAGCTCTGCAAGAGCCTCAGTTAAGCATCTGAAAAACCAAGAGTACAAATAGTCAATTGGTCCTAACACAAAGAACCTGGTATAAAATGGCTACACTGGTGTTTGTAAGCAAATAAGGGTGTTTTGGGGAGGAAGGGTGGGTGGAGGTAGAAGAAGGGGAAGAATCAGTGCATGACAGTATTTGTGCGGGACTATGGAGAACTGTGCAAGAACTGGTTCAGCATCAATGTCAGTAAAACAAACTGGTCCAACCCTCACTAAATTCACTTGTCCAAACCATCCTTAGACTCTCTCACTGAGGAAAAGAGTTTATGTGCCATAAAAACTGTGATATCTGTCTGAACAGTTCAATGAAAGGACTACACTATGTTAGTAAATCTGTATATATATGTATATATGTGTACATTTGGATGTGAATATTTATATCTACACATATATGTCACTACCTACTAGTTTTTTTAGGTTCTTGACAGATAGATGGTGAAGCTTGCTGTCAAAAACACTTAAATCAAACCTGGCCATAGAATAACTAAGGTATGAAACTGTTTTGTTATGTATCTACAGCTCTGTTACTCATCAGTACAAAGATTAGATTGAGCAGAACCCCATGCAGTTCCCCTGAAAATTATATAATAAATCTAGTAAGCAAGCAGTGAATGAACAGGCTGCTCACACCTTTTCTGGACTGTGAGGCAGTCTTACTACTCATTCACAATACTTTAATTATATTATAATAATTAAACTTTGACCTTTTTTTAAAATTTATTTGTATTGAAAATATATTGTTCAAGCTAGAGAGGTGATTTCACAAACATAGCTTTGTGCATCGAAGGAGTACCACTGAGGGACAAGGGAACTATGAAACAAACAGCCCAAAGGCAAGGTCAAATATTTGCCATAATCTTCTATAGCATTACAGAAACACCTGAAAACAAACAAACAAAAACCACTGAAAAACCCCCATAAAAAAATAATTAGTCTCTTTTCAGTCCTCAATCACTTAGCCCACCCTTTGTCACCTGTCACCCCTAGGGAAAAAATACTATTTTAAGAAATACTGTAAATCTTCTCTCACTTCCAAGATAGAGGACATTCAGACCTATTTCTAAGGAAAAGGCAATCAATGATCCTAAGCATGATTTCTGACTATACATACTTGACTGATCTCTTTAAAAAACAATCCTCCTCCCTGCAGGCCCCAGGCCTGAAAACACATATTATTATACTTTTTTTTTCAGAACATTCATTATGGTTAAATTTGCATCTGGGTCTAGTTTGCCTATTTTTACTTTCTCTTTTTTTTTCCCCACCAATGAGACACCAGTATCCAGTAACCCGACACTTTAATTCTCTGTCAAAAAGATCTTACTGTCAGTGGGAGAGTGAGTTCAAAGTGTCCCAATGGAGATGCTGGAGAGAGATAAACACACCTTTTATTTTTTTACAACTTTATTAAATTTTCACTTTCTTTTCCTTTTTGAAAGAAGAAACTCCTCTTTCCAACATTTTCATTTTTTTTAGGGTCTCCCCAGAGACTTGCAAATCAAACCACATTAAAAACTTGTAAAATAGTATATTCCATTTGAAACTTCTGATTGTTGAGAAACTGTAAGCATATCTGTTTTTTTTTCAGTGCACTCATTCAAGTGTTGTCCAGCAAATTCTTCTATTTAGACATGAGCAGCAATACCATATATAATTTGAAAAGCATTTATTGCAAAGTACAGTGCAAAACAAATAAATAAATGTTAGTTTTATCATGGCTTATAGACTTTACATGTCGGGTGAATAATCCATGTGTGCAGGCTGAATTAGGTAGCCTTCCACTCCAGGCCTACAGCTTGAATGTAAAGCTTTTTTAAAAGTCAATACCATAATTGTTTATGTTTGCAGTTATTGGAATTAATGGTTTCTTTACTTCAAAGGTAACTTTGGTGATACCAGTTAAAGCCATGAGAGGCCATGGTTTGCACATATCTAAAATATTTTCCCACTGAGGAAAAGAGTGCTTCAAGAATAACTTTTCCTTCTGATAGACTTTCTGAAGGGTGTCATAAAATTAATTTCCTATCCCCCCTACTACACGTAATCAGACATCTCTGTTCTGTCTTTTCATAATGCACAAATGTCATTGCTTCTTCAGCAATATTTTAGTCAGATAATGCAAAAAACACACCCCTTCATCATCCTGTATATGGACATAGTTGCAATGAAGAAATGATAAAAATGTGCAAGACAGTAGAATTTAGGGGAACCCAGAAAATTATCAGGTTAGGCTACCAGATAGTCTCTCACATTGATCAATTGCTTCTTGAGAAACAGCACCTTAGAGAATCAAGTCTAAGCAGATTATTAAAATTATCATAATATTTAAAAACTCAGGCACTGACTGGGAAACTTAGAAGGAGAAGAATAAGAGATGCTTAGGTGTGTAGACAATTACATGTGACAGCTGAGCTGGAGAGGTGATTTGGAGATGGGTAGAAGTTTGAGTAGCTGGGTAACTCAGTCATTTGCATGGATGACAAATGTGACAAAGAAATCCCTTTCAAATTTACCAGTTGCTTCAGAATTCATCTTTCCCTGCAGTGTTGGATCAGTTTCTGCCAGGATACATTACTTTATCACTTTAGGTTCTGCAGATGCTTTTTCATACTTGGACTCTGTCCAAAGAACTAACAGGGAAGATCATAGCACTAAGCAACGAAACTCCTTACAGACATTTGATTCAATTTTTTATAGCTGGACTTTTAAGAAATAGTTCTTTTAATGTGTGCTTAAGTGTCTGCTGGGTGTTTTGTAGGGAAATCAGGAGTCTGGTCTTCATAACATTGCTTTGACATGTCAAATCTCACTGAAAAGCATTGCTCTGTCAGAATTAAACTAACTATTTTTCAGGTGGAGGAGAAGCTCCAAGCGAAGGATTATTACCCTTTCTAGTTCACATTCTTTCTTCAAGTCAATTATTACCCTCATGCCCTTTGCTTGCAATTAAGAAATCAAAACCGTACTCTATAAACAATGGGAAAATCTATACTTGTTACAAAATATGTTTTTCATTCACTTTTGTTAGAAATACCCAAGATATGCCTGGACATCCCTTCCAGAATGAAAAGCGTTGGTGCATGACATGCCTAACTATAACATACTTTTCAAATGCAAATAGTACCAGGTACTAGCAACCAACCACATTTAGTTTTATCCCCGATAACATGTTGCTTAGTTGTATGTGGTAGTGCTAATATTATTATTACTACTTCCTGCCACTAGGATACACATCAAAAATACCGATCAGAGAAGCCCCCTACAAAACAGTATCTTTTCCACTCCTGAGGGCACAGGATACCTGTCCTGGAAGAAATTGATGTAAACTTGGTTCCTGTCCCTTTCAAATATTGTGGTGTGCTACACAGTTACCACTGGGAAATTTATACATGGTCTGGGTTTTGATACAACCACCCCGACCTCCTCCAAAACCAAGCAGGAGTACTTGCAGCCATGATAACAGCTGTATCTGCAGTATGATTTGCATAGTTAGTAGCTGCAAGTTATTTTCTACAGAGTCCCTTGCAGTCAATTCATTGCTGTTGGTGGCTGCAGGATCAGCTCATCATTCGCCAGCGGTTCTCTCATTAATACACCTCTGACCTAGAGGCCTATTCTGAGTGGGACTCAGAGTCTCTAGCCAATTAAATCACCTGTCTTTTGGCTATAAATGCTGTGAAGACATAATTATAAGGATAAGACTGAGCCCATTAATTTAGAGCAAAAATAATACTGTCTGTAAGACTTTGAAGATTGAAATCCTCCTGACTGAGTAGCAGAACCCAGGTAAAGCTCATGTTGTTGGAAAGTGACCTATTGCTGTGTCCAAGTCTCACAGAGCATGCTTATTATTTCATAGTACCTTTAGCATGCTTAGTAAGCGTGTGGATCATGCTCCTTCCAGCAAACAGCAGTTATTTAACATAAACTGCCTTTTGAAGATGATCATCAGTCTTGATTGTCTGTGCAGGAAGCCTAATGTAACTGGGTATTTGAGATACTTCAGTTTAGGTGGAATGAATCTATGTTGTATATTCTGTGATGCCTTTATGGAAGACCACTTCTCACATACCATGATGAAAGACCTTTTGAAGGGAGACCATCTTCTTTTACAGCTCATCTATCCAGGAAATCAAAATAATTGAAGCATAGAACATGAGCTTATGTTTTAACAAAGTTGTTATTCAGATTAGAAATAGGAAGAACCTCTAAAATCCAGGACATGTCTATAATTTCCATGCCTTTTTTCCTCAAACTTGTGCTCTAGAGTCATTTGCTCAGAATCCTTTAATGTGAAAAGGAACTCCTCATGCACTGTAATT